TTTATTTTACAAAAACAAGCCTTGAGAATCATCACCAACCGTCATTGCAGAGAAACATCCATCCCAGTATTTGTTCAACTTAAAGGTTGTACGGAGGATTTTTTTTTTGTTTCAAATTGTCAATGAAAGTTTAAAATACCTTTACAAAGATGCAGCAGCCTTGTAATTATGATGACCAAAAAAAAAAAAAGAATGAAAATCTATCAACTGTGGACGTAGCGAGGCCAGATAAACATCAGCCAATAGAAAACAAGGCTCCCTCTTTTTCTATTGGATGTTCGGTTGTCAATCAAACTCCCTACGTTTCTAGTGTAACTGACTTGTCGGCGCGCGGGGATTATGTGGTTTATGCAGCGGTTCTTAGAGGATTTTTCAAACTGTCGCTTCCTCGCAATTTGCACAAAGTTTGTCGCGACGGCGGACGAGAATCCACGACCAGTTCGCCGCAAAAGAAAGTCGGTTTTTGAGGTCGCTGAAAGACGAAGAGAAGGGGAAAAGGAGCGAAGACAAACTGAGGTGATTCTTCGGAGATTCCTTCCAGCGATGGCGCGACTGAAGCAGACGAAGGGCCTAAAAACTGATGCATCGGTCGATAAAATATTTCTAGACAGGTCACTTCAACAGTAATTCTGAACGCGCGCTGGCTGTAAACAAACATGATTTCTAGAGTAAAGAGGCGGGAGGAAGCGTTTCTACTGAGGCTGTGGAGGAGGAAGGTGGTGTCACGCAGGCACGAGGACTGTCACTGTACTTCTCTTCCCTTAAAAAAATCCTCTGTACAACCTTGAAAGTGTTGAAAATGTATGATATTGTTGACTTAAGTCTCTTCAAAGTCATGTCTAAAGCAAAGTGCCGAGTATTAATGTATGAGTTAATGTATGGAAAAGTCTTGACAAAGAAATTAAAGAATCAAGTACAAAAAAAACACACATAAAATCATAACAATGTGTATGTATGAAAAAGAAAACCAAGTTATTGTCCATAATTGTGAAGATTTCTGTTTGTAATTGGTGAATAATTGTGCCTGAAATGAAATGTACTGATTTGAAATGTCCCAAAGTAACGATCAATGTTGATGTTTTGTCTTGAAAAGAGAACATAAGATGATTCTTCTTTCTGCTCCTTTTCATTCATTTCTTGTATGTTTGATGTTGTTACACTGCTGATGTCTTTTTATGCTTTATGAATTATATAAATAAACAAATAAAATGTTTAGTTTTTTTTTTTATTGTAAGATTTTAAGCTGTAAATAGTTAAATATGTTTTAGTTTTTATGTTTCACCCCACAGCAGCAAAATCGTGACTAAACTGGGACTAAAACTGGAACTAAACAAAGACTAGACCAGGACCAAACTGTATCTACAGTACGACTCAAAATAGAACCAAACCAGAACCCAGCACCTTCCCTTTTTTCAAAATGAACCGTGCGTCACCAGTTCATTCAGATTCTTTAATCACTGCTCAGATTTGGCACCTGCCCCTCGGCGTCGCCCGGTCACATGATCAGCAGCATCTAGTGCAGGGTTGAACAATTATTTTTTCTATGGGGCCACATGAGAAATAGAAAATACTGTGGAGGCCAAAATGTTTAACTCACTTCTGCAGAACATTCATTGTATTTCTTTAGAAAAGGCAGTAAATGTCATTGTTCTGACGAGCTGCTCAGTCTGGTGAGAGTTTCTGTTCTGACTCAGCAATGAAACAGTGAGAAAGTGAGAAAAAAATAAACTCAATGCAGCTTTAGTCCATGCAAGACGTAAAATTATAATTATATTATATATAGTAATTAAGTATAATTATAATAATTACAAAATACATTTTGTAATTCCAAATGATCTTAAACAAGCAAAACATGGCAGTAAATATCGTACAGTGAGATGTATATCGTGATAATATCGCACCATGAGATGTGGATATTGTTACATCCCAAATATCCAGCTGTTCTACAATCTCTGTATTTAAAGAATATAATAAATATACCGTATTTTTCAGACTATAAGTGGCACTTTTTTCCTGTGACTTCTATATTAAAGTGTTTTTCGTGAAGTGTGGAGAGGTTCTAGTCTTGTGTGTGAGTATCTGCTGCTCCTGTTCCTCCTGCACCACTGTCACTTCACTCTACTGCACATGTCTCCTGCAGAAAGAGCCTCTGTCCTGTCTGGTATCATGTCAGTCGATCGCACCGTTACTTCTGCACCACTGAACAATTTAACATTTAAACAAACTTATGAAGACAAAGACTGAGAAAACTGAACACAAATGCCCCGAAAACAAAATCAGATTCTGCAGATTTACAAACTGCAAGTCATGAAATCTGCAGCCGAAAACGCTCAGCTCTTTTAATGTATCGTCTAATATTTTAAATCATTTTTATCATTCTTTTATTGAAAGTTTGCTGACCTTTTCTTTTATCTGTTGGTTTTATGGATTATCTGTGAAAGACAAGAACAGTCTGAACCAGATTGTAAAAGTTTGCAGCAAAATCAGTGGTGTTCAGATGGAGGATTTGGCGTCTGTGTGGAGACATCGGGTGTTACAAAAGACTAAGGCCACACTGAGCCAGACGAACCATGTGCTGCACTCACAGTTCATGAAGATGCCCTCTGGGAGGCGCTATGTCACCCCACGGCAAAAGACCAACCGCTACACCAAATCTTTTATTCCTTCTGCCATAAGGATTTTAAACGGAAAGTGAATTTGTTGCTGTGTCCCTGATGCTCTGTGGTTCGAACGTCTGGTGTCTGTCTTTTTCTCTTTATTATTTATATTTATATATTGTGCGTGACCAGAGATGTGCGAACTGAATTGCCCTTTGGGATTAATAAAGTTGTTAATTGATTGATTGAAAACGATAATCGAGCAGCAGAAAGAAAGTTTGGAGTGAGAGAGAAACTTTTGACACTGGGAGGAGGCACCATGAAACTTTCCTGAAGTCACTGGATGGATGGACAAAGTCTGGACTTCACTGACACCAAAACCGAAATACTGTCGGGATTCAGAAAAACCCGAATAATTCTAACTGGAACTGAAGCTGAGTCTGACGACGGCGACGCAGAGGAGGAAGCGTCGCTCTGTTTACCTCCGGAGGTCGAGTTGTTCTGAAGTGACACCGAGGATGAAGAATTGAATGGATTTAGTGATTTGGAGCGAGACGGAGACAAACCCGTTTATCCCCGGACACGGACGTTTTGTCGCACAGCAACCTACATTCGGCTTGTCGATTAAAATGAAGGTAATCGATGAAATTCTTAATGATCACTTATCGATTAATCGACTAATCATGCCCATCCCTAATTCTAACATGAAGAATTTATAACAACTCAATGAAAGGAAGAAAGACGAAAACTTAAAGGTGAACAACAACGACGCGTTAGTGAACTACTCCAGACCAAATCTAACTTTATGGTCGTTTCCGCTTTTTAGGACATTCTCTTTCCGTCAAGAACTTTTTTATTTATGTGTTTCGTGGTTTGTATTTGTGTTTTTCCCACATCTAAATTTGTCTCGGCGCTTGCGCAAATGTTTTGTGTTTTGTAAATTTGTTTGTTCGTTTGCAAATGCGTTTTATGAAGCTTGGAATTTGTTTTCAAGACGTAAACGTGTATTTTTAAATGTAATTTTGTTTTCAAACTTGTGAAATGTAAAAGTGTTTTGCTCTTTCCGGCCACCGTACAGATCTGCCCTTTAATCCAAAGACAAACGCAGAGGACACATTCCTGCAGAGACACTAAACTGGACCTGCCCTGGTGCTGGCGCTTTCATTTTTTTATTTTTTTTAAAATTCTGAATTCCTGTGTTTTGATTATTCTCTTATAACGTTCCAAAAATGCAAAGAGCCTCAACTGTGGAGCAGGAAAACCCCACATTCCAGGGACCGTTTCACACAGAGCCAGGACCAGGACTCTCAAATACTTCACATTTTTGGATCTGCTGCTCTGACATACTTTTCCTCCTCTGCGCACCACGCCAAAAATCTGCTCCGGCCGACTCACTCACTCACTCACTCACTCCAACGCCGACGCTTTAGATGCAGGGGGAAGTGTCCTGCCCGATGACACAACAGCAGCCCAAACCAGTGATGACCCGGAGCACAAACTTTGCACAGGAGTGAGATGTCTGAGCCGCTGCCTGTGACGCTGAGGACGCGCAGGTTATGCAAACACCTGAAGACTTCTGTGTTTCAGATTCAGCCCAAAACCCCGTGAGAGCAGAGCCGTGTGTGTGTGTGTGTGTGTGTGTGTGTGTGTGTGTGTGTGTGTGTGTGTGTGTGTGTGTGTGTGTGTGTGTGTGTGTGTGTGTGTGTGTGTGTGTGTGTGTGTGTGTGTGTGTGTGTGTGTGTTTGTACAGACATTAGACAGAAGGAGGGTGACCAGATTTTCAAAATAAAAACCGGGGACATCCTGGTTTGTGTTGGTTGGTAATAATAAAATTGTGAAATAAGAGCATAAATAAGGAGGCTTGTTCTGCCCTCGGCTCTAACATGAGTCAGTTCAGTCACATTCTTTGTGTTTTGGTCATTTTAAAGCAGCTTTTCTGTATTTTTCCAAAACAAATGACAGTGTGCGTCTGTCTTTTCTGTTGGCAGGGATCAGATTGGTCCAAAATAGAGACACCTGGAACATTTCTTGAGTAAAATTGGGACAAATCAGTGGTTTTGGATAAATGTGCTGGGACAGGAGACACAGGGTCTGGGACTGTCCCGGGTGAACAGACACGTCTGGTCACTCGAGTCAGAGGGTGAGAGATGACCAGAGCCTCAGGCCTGTGTCCTTGCTCTTATTTTTACTTTGTGACGTGAGTGTGTCTGTGCCTGTGTCATGAGCTAAACGCAGTGAGACAAACGGAGCAGACATGACTAGACACAAGAGCGGAGCGGGGCCTGAGCATCAGCGGAGCTCTGTGCCTCCTGAGCCCGGGGACAGGGGCCCTGAGTCGGGCAGTGGCCCCGCAGTGGCCCCGCTGGTCTGGAGCTCGGTGAACAGGACGTAAACAGGACTCACCTACATCCGCGTTGCAGAAAGCCTGTTGCGGGTGCACGGGCGCGCAGCTGCACGCCTCCACGCGCTGCTCCGCGCGCCACAGCAGCAGCGGCACGAGCGCGCAGAGGATGCCGTTCACGGAAAACGGCATTTTTCTCTCAGCTCCGGTTCAGCCTGGTCCAGAGGTGCGCTGTTGTTTTGGTGGAGCTCTCTGCAGAGTCACGTCTCTCCGTTACGTTCTCGTTACGACACGACGTCACTGTCCGTGTGCGCTCGCGGCAGATGCGGTGAGTTTGTCCCGTGCGTCAGCGGTGTCTCCTGCGGCAGCGCGCTCCGGTCTCTCTGAGCTCCGACTGTTTTCGTTTGAGGCAAAAAGCGGTTTTTATGTGACGCAGCTCCGCCCACAGCTCCCCACGCCACCGGAAGAGGGCGCGGTTTGTCCACAGCGGTGACACATCTGGAGCCTCGTGCGCGCGGACACGGAAGGAAAATATTAAAATGACGAAACGACACGGACTCACTTTTACCTTTACACGCTCCAAACTGTGCGTAACATCTGAGCTTTTATTTAAACAAAGCTTTATCTTGGTCAGTGTTGTTTTTATTGATGTACAAACAGCGCCACCTGCTGCTCACGGTCACAACTGCACATAAACGATGGACCAACATTTCTGTGAAAATAGTTTTAATAACAGCGGTTTGTGTTTAGTTTCATTCAGGAAACAGCCAGAGTCCAAACTTAGCACTTGTGATCACTGAGACTTTTTTTTTTAGTAACATTACAAACTGGTTCATTTCAGAATCTTTAACACAAGCCAAACGGTCTCATTACATTTTATTATTTTATATCAAGTTTTTATTTAAATCTTAAACTCAGTGGTTTCATTATAATTATGAATCTACTTGTGAAATATTGGGCTTCCAGTATATATAGCTTTTGAATCGAAAAAAGTCCTCAAAAAATATTAAACTGAACCCAATGACTATATATAAAAATTAAATATAATAAAAAGTTCCTCTGTGGTGAGACTGAGAGTAACTGTGTGTTTGTAGAGTCCTTTATTGTGTCAGACGGTGAGGTACTCCTTCAGCTTGTCCATAACGGCCGGGAGCTTCTCACTGGGCACCAGCATCACCGTCCTGAACGGCTTCATGGGAACGTCGTCGAAGGACCAGCGTCCGCTCAGACACGAGTCGGCCTCCTCCTCCACAGAGTAATGGAACTTCAGGACGGCGTGCTGCAAAAACAAGAGAAATGCAGCGTTTATTATTCTGATCACGAAAGTTAAACACAGAGAAACTGAACAAAAAAACTGAGGCTCCATCATCACGGCGAAAATCAAGGACTGCAGGAGGATGAAAACGAGGTGAAATACATTTTGCCAACCCAGGAAAGCAAAAAATCAAACACCAAAATCACTTTTTTCTCCTGATTCTCTGTGTAAATGTGTCTAAAACAGAAGTGTATCTCGATCCCTGGCCTTATTTTGGCATTTTAGTGCATAATATTTGTTAAAAATCTGACTTTTGGGTCAAAGTCTCTGTAACTTCCTGTTTTAGGATCAACGTTTGAGTTTTCAGGTTGGATTAACAGCACCAATGAGTCAGACGCAGGTTATTCTGTACATGAGTTAGATCAGGTGAGTTAACAGAGCCGTTCTAAAGGAGCCAAAAGAAGTTAGAGATGCCAGTGAAGGAGGCAGATTGTTCCAGTCTGAGGAGCCTTAAAGCGAAGGGACCTCTGAACCGCCTCCAACTTTTTAAAGTATAGTGAAGTATTTTCTCTGGGGCATTAACTGCAAACACATTTAACATTCCAAGTGCACAAATCTGTCTGTGCCAGGGGTCTCCAACCTGTAGCTTGGGAGCACCTAGAAGCTCTCCACCCCCTTCCAAGTATCTCACCAACGGATTTTTGAATTACCATATTTTACGCGCTATTAGGAGCTCTGGATTATAAGACGCACAGTCATTAAATTATTTTTGAACTTTTTTCACAAATTAACCGTGTGGGACTTTAAATGAAACACAACAGTGTGATGGGTGAGTGGTTTTGTTTGTTTGTTCGTTCACGGTGACTCTGGGCTGTGTTCAGTTGTGGCGTGTAGGGAGGGTGCTGTCTCTGGATTGTCGGCGTGTTCGCAGTGACTCAGTTGTTCAGTCGTGTCTAGAAGCGGCACGTTGCGCTCGCTTTTTCGGTTCGTTCCTCCGTTCTGTTCCTCGTCGGCGTGGAGTGATGAGTGTGTCTGTGTGTTTCGCTGTGTGGTCGCTGTCTGCTCCGTGTGTGTTTGCGTGCTCTGTGGGTGGTGTGTTTGTAGTTTACTGAAGTCGTGCTGCGACACCCGAGTGGATTCGTGTGTGGGGAGCTCTGGATTGTGGTGCGTGGTCATTTTTGATGGGGTTGGAGGCTTAAGAGCGCGTCTAATAGCCAGAAAATACAGTATATGTACTGTGCTGAATATCTAAAATTGTATTAATTGAAATTGTAAATGTATAATTTTGATGCGTAACTAAATAAATAAATAGATAATGGTTTGTGGTTTATAAGCATCTAACTGTGCTCCATCTAAGGCTCGTCGTGGGGCTTAAATGTACTAAATTTCTTGCAAACACTAAAATGAGCAGCTCTCTGGCATTTTTGTTTGGTAAAAGTAGTTCACTGGAGGAAAAAGGTTGGAGACCCCTGGTCTATGCAAATATCGACATCATGAAATCGATTTTTTATTTTAATTGTAGAATCAGTCTGAGTGAACGAGTTCCTTCTGTTTTATTCATGATCATAACATGAGTTTAGTTCAGTTTGTCACTAAAGCGTCGTCGTTGTTTCCTTTAAGTTTTGTTCTTTCTTCTCTTGATCGTTGTGGATAAATTGTTCATGTTAGAATGTTTATTCTTTGTGAACCTTGTTGGTTGAAGATTTGGGCAGATTTATGAAGCTGCTGGAAGAATACGACACAACATTTACACACACATTTTGACACAGAAAATCATTCATGGGAAGTTCCGCAAACCTAAAGCGGGACACTTCTGGCTGTTGTGAAAAAGGTCTGTTTAAGACCAGGCAAGAAAATATTTCAGATATGATGAAAAGTCAAAATAAATACATTCAAAGATAAACTGAAACCTGTGGTATTGAATAAGAGGCCAACTAAAATTAATCATATTCAGGAAATATTCAAACTAAAGCCAAAAGAGGGTTGAACCTTTAGAGTTTATTTATTTATTTATATATTATTATTTAATTATTATTATTATTATTATTTATATACTTTATTTTTTATTTATTTAGTATATTTTATTTATTTTTATGTGGTGAAATATTTGACTGTATAAACCTTCTTTTGCTTTGGAGCCACCTGCAGGACTGAGGGACTCAACAGACTCTTGTAACACAGATATTTTGAAGTTTAGTCCAGTAGAATAAACTCCATGTGATCACAGTTACATGAGTTTAAAGGTGTATCGCACAGACACACTCGGAGGTAAATAAAGCACTGACCTCGTAGAAGAACTCCTCCTCTGCGTTCACAAACATGAGCTCGTCTTTAGGGGGCGCTCTGGGTCCAGATCTGGAGATGGTTTTAGACGTTTCTTTACAGGTTTTGCTGATCATGAGGCAGTAGTGACAGCGCCCGCTCGGTTTGTTTGTGCGCTCCGCCTCCGCCATCTCCTCTCTGAAGGAACAGAAAATCAGGTTAAAGACGAGGTATTTTACTTTTACGCAGTATTAACTTTAACGCGTCACATATTTAGATCTCCATGTTATTTTTTATTGTTTTGAAAATGCTATAGTTGCTGAAAACAACGTACAGTCGCAGCGTGTAAAGATTGGAGATTATTTAGTCAATAAAGAAAAGTAATTATTCAGGTCACAATATAATCATAAAAGCTAGAATATAATAATATTGACTAGGGATGGGCATGATTAATCGATTAATCGATAATTGATCATTAAGAATTTCATCGATTACGTTAATTTTAATCGACAAACTCGAATGTATGTTGCTGTGTGTATCGTGGACCAAACAGGTGTGTACATGTGTCTCTGCATCAGAAGGAGCGAGACACAAACAGTGGGTCAGTCTGTAACGAACCGAAGCACAAATGTGGATTTAACGATGATTTGGACAAGAAATTCCACACTTTCCGTTGCGTTGGGACAAGTGTGAGTCCATGTGCACAGTGTATAAAGCAGCACATATGTTTCTGTGTCCAGTGGGAAAAAGTTTTTCCAGGTGAGAGTCGCTCAATGTGGATGACGAGGCCCCGCCCCCCTCCCCCCGTACGCTGTCCTGGTTTTGACAAACACAAATCTGGTCACACTGACCTGTATTCACCTGAGTCATGTCTTTTAATCCGACACAAGTTGAACCACATCAGCGACACAAGAGCTGGAGTTTTATCTTCGCTTAGTTTATGTAAATTAGTGATGTGGTTTTAAGTTTTGTTTCTGTGAGATTTGAACAAAACTGAATTAAACACATTATAATGTCAAACAGCTGATGTGGATCTAGAGTCGTTATGTTTATATGTCGTAAAGTTGAATTTATTTATGCAGATTAGTAGTGTAGATAGTAATAATAATGATGATCATTTTAATATAAAAACGTTAATGACTAATCGATCGTTAATTCTACGATCGATTAAGAAAATTTCATCGAATGCCCATCCCCAATATTGACCATTTTAAAAGTCATTTAAATTCAATATCGAATCCAAAAACATTTCAACTTCAACTTCATTTTTTTTTATCTCCAAAAACAAAATGAAAAAACAGATGATCTGTTTTTTCAGTTTTTGATTTTGTGTTTAAATGAAAAATGGAAAAAATGGATAACGGACGTTTCTCGTTAACGTGACCTAAAGTGTGATGCCAAACTGAACCAGGACTGAACCAGGACTAAACCAGGTCTAAACCAGGTCTAAACCAGGTCTAAACCAGGTCTAAACCAGGTCTAAACCAGGACTAGACCAGGTCTAAACTGTTTTCAGTGCTGGTCTGGTCCCGGTCTCAATTCCCCGGTCTCAATCCCCGGTCTCAGTCCCGGTCTCAGTCCCCGGTCTCAGTCCCCGGTCTCAGTCCCCGGTCTGGTTCTGGACCTGTTTTAGTCCTTGTTTAGTCCAGCATCGCATTTTAAGTCACATAAACGGGAAACAGTCGTTATCCGTTTTTTCATTTTTCATTTAAACACAAAATCCAAAACTTAAAAAACAAATCATTATCTGTTTTTTCATTTTGGTTTCGGAGACAAATAATGAAGAAAATAGTTGTTTTTTTTAGTTTTTTGGTTTTATATTAAAAAACGAATGAACGAATGACACATGGATTGATTAGAATGAAAGAAAACAAAGGATTTCACTTTTGTTTTGTTACGTGTCAATAATCGAAATCGTTCCTCTCACAGTAATCGTAACACAAAGATCTGATCTACGTGTACAGAAGGAGAATGTTCTCACTGCAGTTGTTTGTGGAGGGGCAGAGCGATCTGTGGAGGGACGTTGATGAACCTCTCGCTCAGCAGGAGACCCACAGACTTCCCCGGGTCTGACAGAATCTTCTCCAGACGCTCGCAGTCGGCCTCACTGCTGCTCCTCTGGGCCTGCTCCAGAACCAGCTCCTTCAGCTCCTCCACGCACTGCACGCCCTGGACACAACACACAGAAATATGGACTTAATTATGTACGGAAGCCGAGAGGGGTCACAACTAATACAAACGCCGCAACAAATACAAATGCCACAACACATTAAAAAGCCAAAACGGAAATGACCGCGCGACTCTATTTTAATGCAAACGCTGCAACAAATACAAACACTACAACACAAATGCCGCAACACATTAAAAAGCCGCAACACATTAAAAAGCCGCAACACATTAAAAAGCCGCAACACATTAAAAAGCCACAACACCTCAAAAAGCCACAACGGAAGTGACTGTGGGACTACGTGAAAAGTAAAGGAACGGAGAAGTTGGAAACATAAGTAAAAGTAATTTATTGTTTTATTATTATTCATTTCACGTTGTAGTTCTTCTTCTTCAGTCCCGCGGTCACTTCCGTTGTGGCTTTTTGATGTGTTGCGGCATTTGTGTTGCGGCGTTTGTATTTGTTGCAGCGTTTGTATTTGTTGTGACCCCTTCGGGCTTCCGTAATTATATCATTATAACAAACACTGCACACCCAGGACAAGACACAACAGTAAAATGTACTTCATTATACCATTATAACACACACTGCATGCCCTGGACAATACAAAACAACAATATGTACTCTATTACACTGTTATAACAAACACTGCATGCCCTGGACACAAAACACAGAAATATGTACTTAATTATGTACGGAAGCCGAGAGGGGTCACAACAAACGCAAACGCCGCAACAAATACAAATGCCACAACACATTAAAAAGCCAAAACGGAAGTGACCGCAGGACTATTTTTTCGACGGATCGATCAAGCGGCAAGTGAAGAAGAAGAACTACAACGTGAAAAGTAAAGGAACAGAGAAGCTGGAAACGTAAGTAAAAGTAATTTATTGTTTTATCGTTATTCGTTTCACGTTGTAGTTCTTCTTCTTCACTTGCCGCTTGATCAGTCTGTCGGAAAATAGAGTCCCGCGGTCACTTCCGTTGTGGCTTTTTGTTGTGTTGTTGCATTTGTATTTGTTGCGGCGTTTGCGTTTGCTGTGACGCCTCCGGGCTTCCGTAATTATATCATTATAACAAACACTGCACCCTGGACACAAAATACAGAAATATGTACTTAATTACACTGTTAAAACAAAAACTGCGCGCTCTGAACAAGTAAATACTGTAAAATGTACTCTATTACACTCTCATAACAAATACTGGATGCCCTGGACACAAAATACAGTAAAATGTACTCTATTATATCATTATAACAAACACTGCACACCCAGGACAAGACACAACAACAATATGTACTCTATTACACTGTTATAACAAATACTGGATGCCCTGGACAATACAAAACAACAATATGTACTCTATTACACTGTTATAACACACTGCACTCCCTGGAGAAGACAATACAGTAATACACACTATTACACTGTTATAACAGACCACATGCTCTGGACAAGAGAAAACAATACGCCCTCTATTACAAACACTGGACGTTGTTTATCTATTACACTGTTATAACACACTGGAGGCTCCGGGTAATAATGTAACATGAAATGTACTCTGAAATTCACTGTTATAACACTGAAAATATATTATATATATTATATTATTATAAATATATAAATTAAATTGCACCACCAGCAAGCCAAGATTTTAAACTAATACAATAATCCGTGTAAACCAGGCATGTCCAAACTATGGCCCCCACCTTGATAAAGATAATATTTAATATTTAGTGTGTGGTTTTAAGGATCTTAGAATGAGTCTTTATGTATTCTAACACGTTAAACATGCACATATTTTAATTATTCGCTGTATTCATCACCAGTCTACGGCCCTCGATCGGCCCTCTGCTTCATCTGTGTTTACATATGTGGCCCTTGATGAAAAAAGTTTGGACACCCCTGATCTAAACAAAAGCTGGTTGCAGTGTTTCGCTCTTTCGAGACGGAGACAAACATGCACAAAAGAAAATAAATACTACTACAGGTATCATTTCTATGAGAAAATGAACACTATTACAAACTAAAGTTACAAACTAAAAGCTTAAATAATAGTCTGCAAAATCAGTTCATCATAAAGAGGACCATGAATAAACTAATAAACCTTGAACCCACAGTGGGACTCAGGCTTCAGGCTTTTTTTTTTTAGTTTTTTAATACTTCTTATTTATTCAGTTTTTCCAAGTTTTGTGTAGTAAAAAACAAACAAATGCAACAGTAACAAAGCTTGGGGCACTGTTCTACTGAAATAAGGGTGTGGAAGGCTGGATTAAATCTCTTTTTATTTATATTTCAACCATTATGTCCGGCGTTTAATGAAGAAATGTCCTTTGAGTCACAGAAAAAAGTCTGTTGTTCCATGGAATATATTTCTTTTATAATTGTAGCCACTGATTCACTGACGGTGGGTCCTTTTTAAACCAGCTTCTTGTTATTGCTTCTGGGGAGTTCCCTTTTAGAACACTTGCACAGAGTTAGAGGAACTATTTAAAAAAAATAAAACCAAAAATAAGAAAACGAAAAAAAACTATTATTTTCTTCATTATTTGTCTCCAAAACCAAAATGAAAAAAACAGATGATGATTTGTTTTTTCAGTTTTCGATTTTGTGTTTAACTGAAAAATGGAAAGTTTCCAGTTTTTGTGACTTAAACTTTGATGCTGGACTTTTGCACCGCATACGGACTGAACCAGGACTAAACCAGGTCCGACCAAACCGGAACCAGCCTGGGACTGAGACCAGACCAAGACCGGGACTGAGTCCAAGTCTGAGACCGGGACAGAGACCGGGACAGAGACCGGGACAGAGACCGGGACTAGGCCATGATTGAGACCAGATCTGAGACCGGGACTGAGACTGAGACAGAGACCGGGACTGAGATCGAGACCAGGCCATGATTGAGACCAGGATTGAGAACGGGACCAGACCAGGACTGAGACTGGGACTGAGACCGGTTCAGTCCTGGTTCAGTCCGTATGGGGCAGGAAATTCCGGCATCACAGTTTAAGTGACGGAAACAGGAAACGGCCGTTATCCGTTTTTTCCATTTTTCATTTAAACACAAAATCGATAACTTTTTGGCTTTGGAGACAAATAATGAAGAAAACAGTTTTTTTTCTCATTTTCTTATTATTGGTTTTATATTGAAAAACGAATGAACGAATGATACACGGACTGTACATGTTTCGTAAAATAAATAACTATTCTCGATTATAGTTAGAGCTTCAAAACTGTGTCTCAGTCCGAGTTAAGTGTTAAAGTGTTTCATTAATTCATGCTTTCTCTTTTCCCCATCACTGTTCTATCAACTCTGTTCTATCAACTCTGTTCTCATCAACTCTGTTCTATCAACTCTGTTCTATCAACTCTGTTCTATCAACTCTGTTCTATCAACTCTGTTCTATCAACTCTGTTCTATCAACTCTGTTCTATCAACTCTGTTCTATCAACTCTGTTCTATCAACTCTGTTCTATCAACTCTAGTACCTTTCTCTCTGTGAGGTTTATCATGGAGATGAATCCAAACACTTCATCTGGATCCTCGTCGTCACTGTCCTCTGGAACCTCGGCTTGCTGCAAAACACAAAAATAATACTTATATTTTAAGATGTGTTCGAATGCAAAGGTCTTTTAATCATCATCTAATTCAGTCAGAGTTTCAGATTCATACAGCTAAAACCTCTGTTTAAATCAAAGCTCAAAACGGTTCTGTTTATCTGCGTGTGACTGAAAGGTTTTCATTTTTCATTCCGCACTCTTCTCTCTCATTTAATGTCTTTTTCTTTTTTAATTTCATGATGATTATTTATGTTTTGATTTGTTTGTATTTTGAGTTTAATGTATTTCTTATTCTGTAAAACACTTTGAATTACTTTGTGTACAAATTGTGCTGTACAAATAAACTTGCCTTACCTAATTCTCTTTGTAAATACATTTAGTAAGTCTTTAAGTCTTTATTTCTATAGCACTTTTCACAGACACATGTCACAAAGTCACTTTACAGAACATTTATAGATTCATTATTCTTTTTCTCCACGCCCGGTAATGGTAATCTTCTATTGTAGCCACAGCTGCCCTGGGGCAGACTGACAGAAGCGCGGCTGCCATGCCAATCGGCGCCATCGATCCCTCCAACCACCACCACCACCATCACTCACACACACACCACTTTCATACTAGGCAGTGTGGGTGAAGTGTCTTGCCTAAGGACACAACAACAGTTTTTACGACTGGCGCCTCCTGTGGCTCCTGGAATTCCCAGTGTCTCCATCCAAGTCCAGACCAGAACCCGGCCTCTGAACTTCTGAGATCTGATGGGATCAGGCTTTGACAAACCGGTACGGCCACATTTATAGAATTTATGTCTTATTAATACC